CGTGATTGGAGGAAGTCTGTTTGGCAGAGACGGTATGGGCAGTTTCACTCGTGATTGGAGGCTCGTGATTGGAGGAAGTCTGTTTGCAGAGACAGTATGGGCAGTTTCACTCGTGATTGGAGGCTCGGGGTTGGAGGGAGCCTGTTTTCAGAGTCAAGCTATTTCACTCATGATTGGAGGTTAGCAATAGGAGGAAGCCTTTTTGCAGAGACAAAGTATGGGCAGTTTTGCAACCACGCGGTTCTCTCCTTGGATTACTTCCTTGCATAAGACGCCCTTCAATTTTTAGCGTGAGGATTTTAAAAAAAAGGATCGTCTTATAGTTGGAAAAATACAGTATTTTTGGCAAACATATACTCTGAATGAAAAAAATTGATATTTGATGGAGTGAATAAATCAAATTCATTAATTGAATGTTAGTTTTGATAGCATTATAGAAAGCCTGCAGTGTTTTGTTCTGAATTCTATATTATCATTTTAGGCCACAGAAAGTGAAGCTGGTGACATGGACCTAAGTGGATTACCAGAGACAGCAGTAGATTCTGAGGATGATGATGATGAAGAAGATATTGAGAGAGCTTCTGATCCTTTGATGAGCAGAGATATTGTTAGAGACTGTCTAGAAAAAGATCCAATAGACAGGACAGATGATGATATTGGTAAGCTACCACTGGCACCAAAAAGAGGAAAAGAGGATTTTTATTTTCAGCAACACTAAAAACTTTTGATGAGATATTTTTTGTTCCAAAATATAACTAAATGAAATTGTTTCCATGAATCAAAATAAAATTAACAAAAGAAAGTTCTGTATGTCTGAGATGTACATATATAGGAATGAAGCTTGACTGTTGGTTTTTCCCACCTTATTCTCTCCCTCCCTCCCTCCCACATTTAGTCTTTACTGAAAGTATGTAAGTATTGATGCTTTTTGCTTATGAAGTTTTTGATGTAAGGAATAGAGCTTGAAACACACTAGAACTTTAATCTGAGCATTTAACTATAATTTTCTTAAAGCTGGGAGTTGGGCAGCATTTATTGTTGTTGTTGGTTGCACAGTCAGCCAGATGTTTAGACTGGATTTAGCATTTTTATCCACTTGTTATTGTTATTGTTATTATTCATTAATATCTGCCCATATATATTCTTCATGTCTGCTCTATGAATCAGAATTATCAGAAGATTGTAATGATAGGCAATAATATAAAAAATAAGCATAGTCAAATGCCTTTTATGAGGCTGTCTTCTAAAATACTAAATGCTTCAGGGGGAAAAAAAAGTATTTGTTTGCTGTAAACCACTCAGCAATCTAAGTAAAAAGGCAAGATAAAAGATCTTACATATGGCAGAATATACATATTTTTCAACCAGTATAAAATTCTATTAAGATAAAACTGATCTGAACTTCATTGAACTAATTCCTGTCAGCAAGTGGGCCACAACAAAGAAGTTCTTGTAGGAAGTCCTTGTCAAACAAATATGTTAGCCCAACATGCTAGAAAAATTGCCAGCTTGATGATTCATGAAATTTCTGTTCTTTTTTGAATGTGATTCATATATTTAATTTTACAAACTTGTGAAATGGCTTTTCATATTTATTTATTTTTTATTTTTTATATTAGTTGTGGGATATCTTTCAGGTGACAGTTGTAAAATATTTGGAGATGACATAGAATATATTATACAATAGAGGAAATATTATTAACTCTCCCAAATAAGGTTATTTATTTATTTTATTTTATTTATATGGCTGCCCATCTCAAACAAGCGACTGTGTGGCAAACAATCATAAAAACAATTAAAACCAAATTACAAACACAACACAAAAGAAAATTAAATATAAGTTACGTATACATGTATAACTCAGCTATATTTTCTCCTCTAGAACAACTCTTGGAATTCATGCATCAGTTACCAGCTTTTGCTAACATGACAATGTCAGTGAGAAGAGAACTCTGTGCTGTAATGGTGTTTGCAGTTGTAGAAAGGGCAGGAACCATTGTTCTAAATGATGGAGAAGAAGTAAGTAGATAGTGTCTGTAACTTCTTGAGTTTGTCAGAGAAATATGAAATTTATATTTCAGGTAATAAATTATTTTACTCAAAAATCAGAGATAAATTGATGAATATAAAATGCACGCATGGTTACAATATTGACATTAAAATTATTGATACACAGTTATTATATGCAGTATCAAACTGAATTTCTTTATTCAAATATAAATATATCTCTGAGTATTGTACCACAGATTTTGAAAGATATGTGGTTAAAACACTGGGATTCTCTATCCAGTTCTTGCTTTGTACAGATTATAGCAGAAGTAAACTTAATCTAACAACAGGCAGTCCTCAATTTACGACAGCAATTGTGACCAGAATTTTTGTCGCTAAGCGATGCAATCCTAAAGCATGACTGCATCACTTAGCAACAGCAATCCTTGCAGTCCCAGTTGCCCTTATTAACCGAATCCCACAGTCATTAGGTGGGGCAACTTCCTGCCAGCTTCTTACAACTAAAGCCAGTGGAGAAGCTGGCCAGAAGTTGCAAGTCCCAGGCTAGCAGGCAGGTAAGTGGCTGCTGCCAGTTGGGGAAGGGAGTGAGGGGTTGCGTGGGTGAGGGTTGGGGAGCTGCGAGGGGGTACACAAAATGTGCGGCTTGGGTCAGGGTGGATGCGAGGAGGTGCATGAATGGCATGGGTTGGGGAGAGTGTGCAAGGGGCGTGGGTCGGGGAGGGTGCATAAGGGGCGCGCAAGAGACGTGGGTCAGGAAGGATGTGTGAGGGGGTGCATGAGAGGTATGATGTGGGTCAGGGAGGGTGTGCAAGGGTGCTGGTTGGGGAAGGTGCACAAGGGTGCACAAGTGACTGGTGTGACGTGAGTGCAGAGAGACTGGGGGAGGGTGCACAGATTGGGGAGATTTACCCCAGTGATCTGTGACCTTCCCTGTCAGTTTCCCCATTGACTTTCTGGGAAAGCCGGCAGAGAATGTTGCAGATGGCAATCACATGATCACAGGGTCCTGCAACCAGTCAGAAGTGCGAACCAGTTGCCAAATGCTCAGATCGTGATCACATGACCAAGGGGGTGCTGGGACAGCTGAAACTCTGAGGACCGGTCGTAACTGCATTCGTTCAGTGTCATCATAACTTTGAATGGTTGCTAAATGAATGGTAGGTTGAAGACTACCTGTAATTTTATTTATCTGGGAAATAGCTCAGATATGAGACCAGAAAATCAAGTTGGATGTCTTTATCTCTTGTAGACTGGGTGTGTAAATTTGTTAGGTATTTAAATTAGACTTAAAGCACACCTATCTCTACCTGAAAATTTGCATCTATTTGATTCAGTGTATGATCACATCTTTCTGTCTTCCCTACTTGCAAGCATTTATTAGAAAACTGAAAATGTAGTTTTATCTTGCTTATCTGAAACAATGTATTTTATTTTTAGCTTGATTCCTGGTCTGTTATTTTGAATGGTTCTGTGGAAGTAACATATCCAGATGGAAGAACAGAAATATTATGCATGGGAAACAGTTTTGGTGTTTCCCCTACCATGGACAAAGAATATATGAAAGGAATCATGAGAACCAAAGTGGATGATTGCCAGGTAGAATTTGAAGTCTGTGAGCCATTAGAACAGTTTGCACATTTCTTATGGTTAGATGGTATTAAATTTCGATCCCTTTCGTGCTTCATCCCACTACAGCCACAAGTAGAGTTTTGTCTTCTGTTTTCAATTAACAGTTTTATCCTATGTCTCTCTTGAATACCTTTCTATATATGCAATTTGCAGACTACAATTTTGGAGAGATCTTCCAACTGACCTGTATCTTAACCACATCCACACATCAGTGCCCTCTTGGAGCCATCATCTAAAAGCCTATATATATTCATAAGGCTGGACTGGCCAGCTATGCTGTTTGTTTTAAACCCTCCAGAGAGACTGTGCATATTTTGTTCAGCATTGCACTGCATTCTCTGTAATAGCCTTCCCCAAAATTGGCACTTTTCTGTGTGTGAATAACCTGTAAGAATCCCCCAGCCAGTACAGCTGAAAAGTTCATATATCTAGAAGATGCCATATTTGCATCTTCAAGATGTATGAACAATTGGTTTGTTCAGGAAATGGAGGGGAATGGTGAAGTGAGATTGTTATGATAGTTAGTAATTCAAATTGAATAAGTTGATGAATTTTCACAAACAAGAAGCTTAGTAGAATTTTGTTCCTAGTTTATACAAATACTTAAGATAGCAGTAATTATGGTATGGCATAGTTGCACATTCACTTTCTAAAAAGATGGCCTAATTATGATGGTAAATAGATATTATTTCTAGTAGTTATTTTATCTTTTATTTTATTTATGCAATTTCTATAGCTGCCCATCTCAATCCAAGTGGCGAACAATTTCAATAATTAAAACCATTAAAACAGTTACATTAAAAATTACATAAAAATCAACAATGCAACCAGGTAACTGGGCCCGTAGCACTTTCAGGACCCCAGGCTCGGGCACATAGCCAAGTTTTTAAAGGCTAGCAGGGTCAGGGCCATCCTGAGTTCTGAAGGAAGAATGTTCCAGAGGGCAGGGGCTGCTGCTGAGAAGGCACACCTCATCCCTGCGAGTTGACATTCCTTGGCTGATGGGATCTGCAGCATCCCCAACCTACTAGACCAAATTGGAGGGGTAGAAACTGTTGGGAGAAGACAATCCCTTAGGTTACCCGGTCCCAAGCCACGTAGGGCTTTAAAGGTGACAACCAGCACCTTGAATTTCACCTGGAAACATACTGGTACCAATGCAGCTCCTGTAGTGGTGGTGTTACATGTGCCGCATATCTGGCACCATTTACTATCCATGCAGCCTCATTTTGCACCAGTTGAAGCTTCCGAACGCTCTTCAAGGGCAGCCTCATATAGAGTGCATTGCAACAATCCAAACAGGATGTAATGAGGGTGTGAGTGATTGTGAGGAAGGCCTCCCAGTCCAGGAATGGGCACAACTGGTGCACAACCCAAAAGTGTACAAAGGTCCTTTTAGCCAAGGTTGCCACCTGCTCTTTAAGCAGGAGCCATGAGTCCAAGAGGACCCCCAGATTGCACACCAGGTCTGTCTGAGGCCATGCTACACCATAGAGGACCAAAGATGGAAAAACCTTATTCCCAGGAGGACCAAAAACCCAAAGCCAGTCCATCTTGCTTGGATTAAGTTGAAGCCCACTGCACCCCATCCAGGCCCCTACAGCCTCCAGACACTGGGATAGGACATCCATGGCATCACTCAATGGGGTGGAGATATATAACTGAGTATCATCTGCATTTGATGGTATCTCACCCCAAACTGTCGGATCACTTCAGCCAGTGGCTTCATGTAGATGTTAAACAGAAGAGGGGAGAGAATGGAGCCCTGAGGCATCCCACATAATGCGACCTTTCCCAACTCCCGAAGCTGATTCAGAAGTATACCATGATCAGTGGTATCAAATGCCACTGAGAGGTCCATTAGTTGCCTGGGGTGGAGTATTTGAATAGGCCCAGCCTCCCTGCAGAGGGGCGTAATGCCAGAGAATTGGAGGCTCATCAGGGAGTGATCTGACCATGGTTGGGGAGAAACTAATATCTCCCCCAATTTCAGAGCACTGTGCCAACTGCCATTGCTCCAACAGAAAAATCAGATGGGTTGTGTTGCCGCTGTTATGTGTTGGGCCTTGGATGACCTGGGCCAGGCCCATGGCTGCCATGGTAGTCATGAATTCCCAAGCCATCTCCGAACCTGTGCACAGCAAAGGCAGATTAAAGTCCCCAAAGACCATAAGCCTGGGGAACCTCACTGCCAGCCCAGCCACGGAGTCTAGACACTCAGGCAGGGAGGTTGCTACGCAGCAGGGAGGCTGGTACACCAGCAACAGTCCCAACTGATCCCTATTAATGTCCAACTTAATAAATAATGTCTCACACCCAGTAACCTGAGGAGCAAGGCCCCTGGATGCCTCCTACGTTTCTTGGATGAACACTACCACCCCACCTCCCCTACCCTGGAGTCTTGGCTGGTGCCACACCTGGAAACCATCTGGGCAGATCTCGGAGAAGGGAAACCCCCCTTCTGTCCCAGCCAAGTTTTGGTAATACACGTCAGATCAACCTTTTCATTGACAATTAAGTTGTGAATCAAGTTATCTTAATAATCTGCTATTCCAAAATCAAACAGAAGTTCTAAAAATATTTTGAATTTAACTACAGAGCATTAAAAAATAACATAAATACAGTCAGGTCCAGAAATATAGGGACATCGACACAATTCTAACATCTTTGCCTCTATACACCACCACAATGGATTTGGAATGAAACAAACACAATGTGCCTTAACTGCAGACTGTCAGCTTTAATTTGAGGGTATGTACAATTTAACTACAGAGCATTAAAAAATAACATAAATACAGTCAGGTCCAGAAATATAGGGACATCGACACAATTCTAACATCTTATTTAACTACAGAGCATTAAAAAATAACATAAATACAGTCAGGTCCAGAAATATAGGGACATCGACACAATTCTAACATCTTATTTAACTACAGAGCATTAAAAAATAACATAAATACAGTCAGGTCCAGAAATATAGGGACATCGACACAATTCTAACATCTTATTTAACTACAGAGCATTAAAAAATAACATAAATACAGTCAGGTCCAGAAATATAGGGACATCGACACAATTCTAACATCTTATTTAACTACAGAGCATTAAAAAATAACATAAATACAGTCAGGTCCAGAAATATAGGGACATCGACACAATTCTAACATCTTATTTAACTACAGAGCATTAAAAAATAACATAAATACAGTCAGGTCCAGAAATATAGGGACATCGACACAATTCTAACATCTTATTTAACTACAGAGCATTAAAAAATAACATAAATACAGTCAGGTCCAGAAATATAGGGACATCGACACAATTCTAACATCTTATTTAACTACAGAGCATTAAAAAATAACATAAATACAGTCAGGTCCAGAAATATAGGGACATCGACACAATTCTAACATCTTTGCCTCTATACACCAGTCCCTTAACAAGTGGGAGGCACATATGCAAACTGTTGTAATTCCTACACCATTCACCTGAGTTGGATGTACATACCCTCAAATTAAAGCTGGCAGTCTCCAGTTAATGCACATTGTGTTTGTTTCATTCCAAATCCATTGTGGTGGTGTATAGAGGCAAAGATGTTAGAATTGTTTCGATGTCCCAATATTTCTGGACCTGACTGTACATAGGAAAAATAATAACTCTACTAAGGTTGTAAACATAGTTACCATAGAATAAGCACATTGAAGTCAATAAGTCTTAATTTTTAATAGAGATTTATTTATATTTTTATTTATTTATATTTCAAATTTGTCACCCCCCATCTCACTGTGGAGTGACTCTGAGCAGTTTACAGTAAAAATAGAATAAAACATTAATTAAAATAGATATTAATTAATTAAAATATACTAAAAACAAACTTCCTTTATAATACTTCCAAGAGGCAGATGTTAATTAGGTATTAATAAACTCGGGGAGCATCGTCAAGGTGCCAGCCATCCCCAGGGTCGATTGTATCTTTCCTCACCCCACGCAAGTTGGCAGAGCCAAGTCTTCAATTCCCTCTGAAAAATTGGGAGGGTAGGGGCTCGTCTCACCTCTGAGGAGAGAGTATTCCATAGGGCGGGGATGATGGCAGAGAAGGCTCTCCTCCTAGGACCCACCAGTCGACATTCTCTCACTGACGGGATTTGCAACATGCCTTCTCTGCCGGACCAGGTGGGACAGGTCGATGTAATGGGGGCGAGACGGTCCCTCAGGTAACCTGGACCCATGCCATGTAGGGCTTTAAAGGTGATAACCAACACCTTGAATTGTACCTGGAAGCAAACTGGAACCCAATGCAGCTCCCGCAGCAAAGGTGTTACAGGCACCCAGAATTGCCTGTGTGGCTGCATTTTGAACCAGCTGTAGCTTCCAGATACTCTTCAAGGGTAGCCCCATGTAGAGTGCGTTGCAGTAGTCTAAACAAGAGATGACCAGGGTGTGAGTTACAGACTAGAGGGACTCCTGATCTAGGAAGGGGTGTAACTGGCGCACAGCACGAAGTTGCGCAAAGGCCCTCCTGGCCACAATTGCCACCTGCTCCTTGAGCAGGAGTCGTGAGTCCAGGAAGACCCCCAGATTATGCACCAGATCTGTCTGCAGTGCAGCCCCATCAAGAACCAAAGATGGTAAACCCCCAGATACAGAGGAGCCTCCAGTCCACAGCCACTCCATCTTACCAGGGTTCAGCTGAAGCCTGTTGTTCCCCATCCAGAGCCCCACAGCATCACTCAAATCACCTGGGATGGAGATGTATAGTATAATGGGGTATCATCTGTGTATTGATGATACCTCATCCCATGATGGCACATGATCTCACCCAGTAGTTTCATGTAGATGTTAAAAAGGAGCGGCGAGAGTACTGAACCCTGTGGTACCCCACAACAGAGGGGCCGTGGGCCGGACCTCTCACTCCCAATCAACACCGATTGGGACTGACCTTGGAGAAAAAAGTGAACCAGCACAAAACTCTGCTGCCCACTCCCAACTCCCTAAGTTGACCCAAAAGGATACCATGGTTGATGGTATTAAAAGCCGCTGAGAGGTCAAGAAGAGCAAGGATGGGTGCACTACCCCCATCCCGCTCCCACCAGAGATCATCCATGAGTGCGACCAATGCTGTTTCTGTCCCATATCTGGGCTTGAAACCTGACTGAAAAGGGTCCAGATAATCTGTTTCATCCAGTATCTTTTGGAGCTGCACCACCACCACCTTCTCAACCATATTCCCTAAAAAGGGGAGGAGACTGGACAAAAATTGTCCAGTACTGTGGGATTCAGGGATGGTTTCTTGAGGAGGGGATGCACCTCTTTAAAGATGACTGGGAACACCCCCTCTCTCAAGGATGAATTCACCATTGCATGGACCACCCACATGTCACCTCCCGAGCGGCCTTGACCAGCCAGTAGGGGCATGGGTCTAGTTGGCAAGTGGTGGCATTAATAGTCCGGAGGACCCTGTCCACTTCCTCTGGTCCAACAGATTCAAACTGTTCCCAGATAACAGGGTAAGTCCATACCCTGGGCATCTCCATAGTCCATGTCCCATGCTTGGAATCCAACTGGGAACCAATCTGAGTGATTTTATCCTCCAGATGCCCAGAAAACTCCTCTGCGCGGCCTTGTACATGGGTCACTGAGCCCACTTTTCCCAGAAGTGATCGAGTAATCTTAAACAGGGCTGCCAGGTAGCATTCTGTGGATGCAATAAGAGCGGAGAAATGTTGATGTTTCACCACTCTTACTACCACAAGGTAGGCCTTAATAGTGGCTCTAGCCTGTTTTCAGTCGGATTCAGTCCTTGTTTTCTTCCAGTGGCACTCTAGACGTCTCTTAATCCTTTTCAAAACCCTCAACTCTTCTGTAAACCACAGGGAGTGTTGGGCTCATTGGAACAGGAAAGGTCACACAAGTGCAATCTTATCCAAGGTCGGCCACCTTCCTATTCTAGGTGGCAGCCAAGGCCTCCTCTGGACCATGCAGCAGATCCTCAGGTATAACCCCCAGCTCCCTTTGGAACCCAATTCGGTCTATCAGTCACCGGGGATGGACCAGTTGAATAGGTCCCCCTTCCCTGTGGAGGGGGGTAGCATGAGAGAATCTCAAGGTCACCAGGGCACGATCTGACCATGACAAGGGGCACAGATGTAACCTCCTTCAGATCTTCTTGCCACTGCTCTGACAAGAAAACCAAGTCCAGTGTGAGACCACTGTCCTAAGTTGGGTCGCAAATAATCTGGGAGAGGCCCATGACCACCATGGTGGCTATGAACTCCTAGCCTGCCTCTGAGGCACATCCCAAGGATGGCAAATTGAAGTCCCCCAGAGTCATAAGTCTGGGGAACTCCACCGCCAGCCCTGAGACAGCCTCCAGCAGCTCAGGCAGGGAGGTTGCTATGCAGCAGGGAGGTTGGTACAGCAGCAACAATCCCAACTGTTCCCGCAAGCCCAGCTTCAGGAACAGGGTCTCACAACCAACCACTTGTGGAGCAGCATCCCTGAAGACCAGCAGAGATTCTTGGATGACAACTGCTACCCCTCCTCCCTTGCCCTGGGGTCTCAGCTGGTGCCAAACCATAAACCCAGCTGGGCACATTTCTGAAAGGGGCACCCCCCCCCTTCAGGGCCCAGCCAGGTTTCAGTGATACATGCCAGATCAGCCTGCTCCTCAGTGATCAGATCACATATAAAGGAGGCCTTGTTGGCTGACCTGGTGTTAAGCAGCAGCAGCCGGAAGCCAGGACCGCCATGGATCTGCTGTCCGGGGCCTGGGTCTGAGTCCAGAGGGCTGGAACACGCCACCAGTAACAAACACCAGGGGCGCCTTCCCTGAGAGCCCACCCTGACTTCTGTCATAACACCCCCTCCCTGTCACCATCTGAATAGTATGACCTGCCCTACACCCCCCAGGGCCTCCAATTCCCCCCAATCCCAGGCCTCTGGCTTCCCTAGTTAGGGGCCCCTCCATCCCAAACATACAATAACAATCATCCAGTCAATCAAATCAGTCAATCAGAGGTGGTGGTGTGCTCCCTGGCACTCCAGCTCCCGCTCTTGGCGCTGTAGGAGCCTTAGCCCTCAACCCCTTTAGACACCATGCCCCCACACCAACTTCTCTCACTGGTCAGTAGAGGACAACACTCACACAACCCACACGTTCCCACATCCACCCATGGACTCCCTCCCTGTCTCTCACCCTAGGGTGGGAGACCCAGCTAACATCTACTGGAGGGATCCCAACACTTAGTCTGGAATCTAACCCACCAGCTCCCAAGTCCTTCAGCTCCCCCCAGAGGGCCAGAGTCACTGTTCAGGTGCCAGATGCTAAGCCGGTTATTAGGCCGATGTCCAGGCCGATGTCCTTTGCCACTGGTCCCACTCAGGCCACTCCAGCTGCAACTCGGATCACCGCTAATGCTCAGTCCAGCCAATTTTCAGGCCCTGAGCAGTGGTCCAGCCTCGCGTCCAGCTGAGTTCTAGGCCACCGCGGTCCAGATCTCTCTTCGGGCCATGCATCATCTGGCACAACTATGGAGCTCCGCCCGGTCCCTGTCTCTCTTCAGCTAACCGCCAAGCTCCACAAACCTCCATGCATCTGGAACTGAGGCCTCAAACACTCCCAAAGACCTCAGACTAGAGCGAAAAGTTCTTCTCTGTAGCCCAGGCCTCTCCTTGAGCTCGTGCCACTCGCCTTGCGTGTTGCATCCAACCCAACCAAAGGTTGAGCTGAATGCTATTTATTCTTAATTTTTTAATTATGGCTGAATTCTTTCTTTGTACTTTAGAGAATTAAATGTAGCACTGTGCCCTTAAAGTTTTAAATATTTTTGACAATTGGATAAAATTCAAAATAATATGCTGTCGCAAATCTCTTTTCCCAGTTTGTATGCATAGCCCAGCAAGATTACTGTCGCATTCTGAATCAAGTAGAAAAAAACATGCAAAAGGTAGAAGAGGAAGGAGAGATTGTTATGGTAAAAGAGCATAGGGAATTGGATCGCACTGGAACAAGAAAAGGTCACATTGTTATTAAGGTATATTTTGTACATCACAATGTATGCAATTGAAAAAATGTATATTCCTTTCACATGAATACTTTTTTGAGGGTGTGTGTGTGTAAGTGTTTAAATAAATGTGTGTGTATGTATGTATGTATATCTGTTGTACAGATTCTTATTTTCAATGTTTTAAAGATTTATAATTTCTGTGTGAAAAACTGAATTCTTACATATATGCAAAAATATGTGCAGTATTCCTTTTCAGGTTAACCACTATTATGCAGAATCCAAAATGGAAGTAAGAAATAGTAAGCTAAAGAAATTCAAAGAGTGAAATAAGGAAAAAAATGTAGCTAAAATTAGTTTATTCCAGCATCATCCATACATTAACTTCTACATACTTTTTATTTTTTAAAGATCTCCATTCTCCTTTGAGGATCTCATCAGTGCCATCCAACCATTACATTCTGATCTTCCCCCCTCTTAATTAATTTATTTTTCTTTCATACATTTTTTGCAGTTTGATCCTCATTCATTCTCTTGTGAATACTAGTCACTCACTTGTGTATTCAGTCCATATTTATTTGGCATCTATTCATTCTTGAAACTATATTTTTGTTTTATTACTTACACCTCCTAAGTACTCATTTCCAACATATTCATCTTACTTTTATGTTTCTTCTGACTCTCATTTCCCTATAAAAAAGTGGACAGAAGCAAGATCTTACATGCAGCCAGTTTCGTGTTTTTCAGGAACCATTCCTTCCTCATAACAGACCAGATACTACCCCTACTTTTCTAACAGCATTTGCAGATCTTAAAATGTATGCATTTCCCTATCTTTAGTAAATATTCGACAAAGCTACAAAATGTATCTACCTAATTTAATTTTTTCACAAGTTTTTCACTGCAATTGTTCACTTCATTTCTCCTATACAATTAAGCTACCTTGATGTTTAATTGATTAATTTTCAGATTATACTTTTAATTGTGTCATACAATCTGTATAACATTGCTTCAAATAATTTTGATTTTCTACCAACAACACAGCAACATCTGCATAAAGTTCCTCAACCAACCCATCACTTTAACACGACCACAAGCATTTCTTACACATTTCTCTATAAATAAAGGGGACATCACACATCCTTGCCTTACTCTCTGGTCAACGTTGAACCATTCGCTTTTACTCTCATGCATACTTTATTTCCGTTAAATGCCACTTTTACTGCATGCAGCAACTAACCTATAATCCCACTTTCATGCAAATATTCCATAATTCAATATTACTTTATCATATGCTTTCTCTACATCAACAAATGTACAGTAAACTTCTTTCTTATATTCATAAATGTGTCAATATCCTGAAAAGGAAAAATCTGATCTGAACACTTCCTGCCCAACATGGCTGCACTATACTTTCCAATTTTTGTTCATTGTCCATTCTTGTACCCATTCTATCAGAATTCTAACATTTTCCCAAGCATACTTAACAAATGAATCCCTCTGTAATTTTTGCGTTCACTCTTGCTACTTTTCCTTTTGCAAAGAGGAACAGTAACATAATTGTTTCAATAATCAGGTATAGGTCCTATCTTCACACATGCTAAACAATCCACTCCATAACCAAACCACATGCATACTTCTCCACTATCTAAATCTACATTCTTACTATTTTCAAAGCTTTCACACCAGTTATTACTTCCTTTTCATCTTTTTTTTCTTGGACACTAACATTCGATTCTTCAGTGTATCATTGTCATTTTCATACCAAAATTATTTTATCCCTTTTATGTTTAATTTTGTTCATTTTGCTGGAGGTTCCTTACTTAGTTCTCTCCATCCACTTCTAGAAGAATTTTGTAGTTCCATCAGAATTGCTCTGCATTTTCTATGTCTCTTTTAATGTTGATTGTTCTTTGGTCTCTTGATTGTGTTCTTTTTAACTCTCTGTTTCTCTCTCTACATGTTGTCTTTCCCTCATATTCAGTTTGTAATTCAATCATTCTTTTATATGCATTTTTTCTTACCCATAAATGTTTTCACGTCAGTCAGTCAGTCAGGCACCCTTTTTTATACTTTATTCTGTTAAAAGACATTTGTAATATGCCCTTTCTTTTCCTCTACATTTTATTAATTATGATGGGAGATGAATCTGACTGAAAATATTTCTATACTTTTTTCATACAGAACTCTTATTTTCTCTTCCTGCAGTCATTCTACTTTCAACCTCATTTCTTTCATTTCTTTCCTTTAGTTCCATGCTCATTTCCCCCCAATATCTATCCCTCATAACAACAGAAAATGGTCTGTTTCACATTCAAATTCTCTAATCACCCATGCACCTTTCATTAATTCTCTCAATCTTTTGACATAATCAAATCACTTATGCTAGATTTATATTCATTCTTTTGATAGATATATAGATATATGGCATGCATGCTTAAAATATGTACTGTTTTAAGCACGTGTACTTTAAACAGTACATGTTAAAACATTATCCATCAATCAGTCACCATTCTCACTGATTCTTGAGTCTTTGAATAGTCCAATTACTTTTTTGTAATAATTTACAAATACAAAGATAAGAGTAATACAAACTAAGAGAAATATAAAAAATGAGGAAAAGAAAAAAAAATTGCAGAGAGAGAAAAAAGAAAAAAAAAGAAGAAAAGAAGAAATATAAAAGTGACTCCCCCTCCCTCCCGACAAGTATAAACAACTCCCATAATTAAACACTTCTCTAGTATTTCAATAATAAAAAAGAATCTCTTCTTCCTATAACTCATCTCTTTTCAATAAACAAATTGCAAAATCATACAGTTCTATTCAGCAACAAATTCATTAAGAGCTACCAGAAATAATAATATATATATTTTAACCTTAATGAAATAAATCCATTTTGTGCTCCAACTTAGCACTTTCTCGAAAAGATAAAGCAAAAGAGATCTCTCCCCAGTTGTAAACAAATCTTTAAAGCATCATCATTCAGTCCTGGTCAAAAAAGAAATTCCATTAATAGCTACCAGAAACCACAATATATATATATTTTAGCCCTGATCAAATAAATTCACTTTGTAGTTCTTCCATTTACTTTTAAAAAGATTGGTCTTTAATCCCAACAAATAGTGTCCCACAAGTTGATTTCTTATCTTTTTCTCTTTGT